CTTGCTATAGTGGATGCCTTCCAAGAGTGGCGTCACTTCCTCGAAGGAGCTGCACATCTAGTGATTGTTTATATGGACCACAAGAATTTGGAGTACTTCATGATAGCTCGAATTTTGAATCGTCGTCAAGCTCGATGGAATATGTCTCTATCACGATTTGACTTTAATATCACCTACCGCCCTGGAAAACAGCAGGGATTATCTGACGCATTATCGAGGAGATCGTATCTTGTGCCAAAGGCTGGAGAAGCAGCGTTTGATCAACAATGTACAACATTTTTGAAACCAGAAAAATTCAAGATTTTTGCTACTGTTGCAACTATCGATGATGGCTTCCTCAGCGAGGTACGTACTACGACCATTGAGGATTCTATAGCTCTTGACATCAAACAACGTGTCGATAATGACAAGTTTAAGGTGGAGGGAGATCTTCTGTATTTTGAGGAGCGGTTGTATATCCTGAAAGGACCAACTCGACTCCGAGTACTTCAATCTCGCCACGACTTTCCAGCTGCGGGACATTTTGGATTCAACAAGACTTTGGAGCTCATTTCACGAGATTTTTGGTGGCCCCAAATGTGGAAGGATGTGAAGGAATTTGTCCTTTCTTGTGATGTTTGTTCAAGATCCAAGATCCCTCGACATCGTCCGTATGGACTTTTCCAGCCATTGCCTATTCCGCACCGATCATGGTCTTCAGTTTCTATGGACTTCATTACGGACCTACCGCCATCGAATTCATTTGACAGCATCTTTGTTGTGGTGGATCGATTTACAAAGATGGCGCATTTCGTGCCTTGCAAGAAAACATCGTCAAGTGAAGACACCGCAAGACTCTTTCTTGATAACATATATCGTTATCATGGCCTACCAGATGATATCGTGTCAGATCGAGGTACTCAGTTTGTATCCAAGTTTTGGAGGTCCCTCTTTGAGATATTGAAGGTGGATATTAAGCTCTCTTCGGCTTTTCATCCTCAAACTGACGGTCAAACGGAGCAGGTGAATCAAGTTTTGGAGAAATATTTACGATGCAGCATCAACTATCAACAAGATGATTGGACTGCATATCTACCGCTTGCTGAGTTCGCATACAACAACACTCTTCATGCGTCAACTCAACAAACACCATTCTTCTCCAACTACGGATACCACCCCAAGCTCGATTTATTGAGTTCTTCAGCAAATAACAACCCAGCAGCTGAAGGATTTGTGAAGCAACTATCGGAGCTTCAAGCGACGTTGAAGCTTCAATTGCAATCTGCCCAAGAGAGTTACAAGGCATCTGCAGATAAATATCGAAATGAGGCGCCTACTTTTAAAGTTGGAAGTAAAGTATGGCTTCTTCGACGGAATATCAAGACCAAGCGGCCATGTGACAAATTGGACTATCGGAGATTAGGGCCATTTGTTATCGAGAAGCAGATCAATCCGGTGGCATATCGTCTGGAGTTACCAGCTACTATGAAGGTACATCCAGTCTTTCACGTGTCTTTGTTGGAACCTTATCGAGAGTCAGCTTTTCCCCAAAGAGTACAAAGTCCGCCACCAAGTATCGAAATTGAAAACCATGAGGAATACGAGGTGGAAAAGGTACTAGATTCACAGCATAATAGGAGAAAATTGGAGTATTTAGTGCATTGGAGTGGATACGACATCAATGAACGAACGTGGGAGCATGCCGAAAATCTTGCCAATGCACCAAAAAAGGTACAAGAATTTCATCAACGATATCCTCATAAACCTAAGCCGATTCAACGATAGCTTCTTGCTGAAGCTTGCTCATCAAATAGCATAAAAAAGGGGGAGGGCACCTCCAAAACCCATAGTTCGATAGTGTAGAACTTTGTTAGCAACTATAGTTTGCTCTCATCATTTTAGCCTTTGGACATGGATAGTCAAGATACTACACTTGTTATGTCATCTCAAGCGACTAGCTCACGAAGACGACCGCGAGATGAAGAACCGCCTGCACCACGACGACGTCAGAGGATACCGAGCAACAGATCGCTAGTAATTGTATTTGAGGTCGAGCCTGCCTACGACGGTCAGCCAGAAGGTGTGTTTGGAGGACAGTTTCACAATGAAGACACAGAAGTCCACGCTTGGTCAGAGGTTGAAGGCGTTGGTCACTACCGTTGGCTCCAAGGGCCGATGAATCATTTGCCTCGCGAACAACAATTGGAATTCATAGCGGATGTGATGCGACAGATTTTCATTTTCTTGCGTTGGTATTGACTGATAACAACATTGCTTCTCGGAGACCTCGAAGTTAGAAGAGGAGGTGATGTCATGGACATACATTAGAAGATTCTTCAAATATTCTTCTAGAATATTCTCTAAAGATTCTCTAAAGATTCCTTTAGAAGGTTCTAGAAGATTCTTAGAATATTCTCAAAAGATTCTTAGAAGGTTCTAGAATATTCTTAGAAGGTTCTAGAATATTCTGATAGATTCTAGGAAGTTTCTCGAGAAGTTTCTTAATTAGTAGAAGTTGTTGGAGAAGCGTCCTAGTTAGCGGAAGTAGCTCGAGAAGCTTCCTATTCAGTAGTATATATAGGAGTCGAGGCTGAAGGGTTCTTCAGTCTCGACAACACATCTCTTGGAATTCTAGCTCACCTTTCTGGTGTTGTTCTTGTACTCATCTGTTTAATCTAGTTCTGCCACTTCTTCTTGAACTTCTTCTTAGATTTCAAGTCTGTATTTTGTGTCCGTGACAGCCTATCATTGCCTTATATACTACTTTGATCCACATCTATTGATCCTTATTTATACACATTATGATGACAATGATTTCAATTTTAGGTTTTGTCTTGAATTATCAAAAGAGATGCCCAAATTCTATATATATTGAGCCTTATGACTTATATTACTTTGTAACCTTAGATATTAAGTCTAGTATAAATAGCCTTGGGACATGTTGATATGTCTTCTCTTCAGATACTCTAATAAGCTTGTGTTTGTTTTATATATGTTATTTCAAGAGTTTTTTTGTATATTGAATTCATTTTGTCATTTGAAGTCTTAAAATATTACTAAGTTAACTATCTATCTTCTGCTCAATATTATGTGTGAATACTTACTTGCACTTTTAAGATTATATAAACTGTAGAAGCACAATTTATTGCACTTATTAACCAATGATGATAATAATGTGGATTTCTATGAAGTTTTCAAACTTAGGATGTTGATTATGTTGTACTTTTTTGGTTGGTACAATGTGCAAGAGCATGTCAAGGTGTTGATTTTATTAAGTGAAAGAAATTAAAGTAAAGACAAGAAGAGTGGAAAAGATTTGGAATAGTGGAATGCAGAAAGGAATAATTGTGTGGTGAGTAAGTGTGGTGAAGAGCATTGCAAGGAAGAAGAGATTGATGGCACTACAAAAAAATTGCATTATGAGGCATGGTTTGTAAATTGACAAAAGAAAAGGAAGAATGATTTTTCCAATTCTCAAAAAGCCAAAAATACGAGTGGTAAAATCTATATGACCTACAATCTAGGCCTCAAATGGCAAATAAATAAGGAATGTTGGTGATACCTTGTCACAAATCTAAGGGTTGTATTTTCTATTATCAAGAATATATGAATATTCTTGATATTTCAATATATTTAAGGAATATTAATGATATTTTATCTATAATATAATATGTAATAAAAGAAATTTAAAAATAAAAAAATAAAAACTATAATTGACTTATGTTATGAATTTATGTTAGTTTAAACCTGTAACTTATTTTAGAATTTAGATATTAACAAAATATGTATTTTATATATCTAATATCTTTTAAAAATAAGCATATGTTTGTTACAAAAATATATAAAATAATCAATTATTCTTTAAAATAGAATGTTAGTAGGTGATTTTAATAGCTTGATAATTAAAAAAGATGTGTCAAATCATATTATATGTGAAATAGTAATAATGCTTCAATTATAATTGTAATAAATTAAAAAAATATATTTTAAGATAAAATTTGAATCTTGCTGAAATAAAAATATATTTATTACATAGCTAGATTTTTCTATGACATAATAATAATTTGATTCAAAGATTATATAATTCTAACTATTTATGGTAATCTAAAAATATGTAAGATACAACAAAGACACTATTTAGATTTAGTTATGAGATTATTACAACTAGCAATAAAACATCAATTTAACAAAAACTAAAATAAAATAAACATATCAAAAAAATAATTTTACAAAATATAAAAGACAATATAAATAAAGATATAAAGATATTATAAATGTTATTCTAACAAGCAAATAGATTGGATCTAAGTCCATAAATAATTATTTAAAAATATATATATATACATAGATTTGGACATCATGACTAATTTAAAAAAAGTATAACATAATATTTAATATAGTATTGTTTAAAAAATCAAGGTACCAACTTCAACATTATGGATTTTCAACAAACATTCAAAAACATTTGAAGGTAACCTACAATGTGTGATGAATGTATTCACAACAAATACACTCAGAATATTTTTTCTTTTCACACGTAGTCAACAGAGTAGTGGATGCAATACTTATTTCTTGATTGAAGCATATATCCACACATATACAGTAAACACTGATTAAGGAATAATTAATATTGCCTTGTAATCTACTTATGATTTTATATTATGCCTGATTCATGAAAATTTTAACTATTTACAGTTACTTCGTAAAACATTAATAATATTAATTTTCTCTGATGTCTGTCTTTAAAAGAATAAACTTCACTGTTACTCCACTTTATAATTGTAAAAAATGGATCATTCATAAATTTAAATCCTAAAAGAAATTTATATATATATATATATATATATATTAAAGTTGACAACAACATCAGTTATGGTTTGTGATTGAAACACTATAGGGACATGAACAAGACTTTTATCAGTACGTTATTGAACAATCTAGGGACTTCAATAGGACTATCACTTTTTACGATTTGCACGCAACTATATTTTTACTTTTTCGAGGGCTCCGTGTTGTTGAGAGGTTGGTGGTCACGAGAATTGTGGCCCGATCTCGATGGATTCACACGCGCGGTGCCGTCGCGACGCCGCGGGGACCCATCATCTGACGCCGACGAGAGACACGGGCCGCGGAATCCAAGCCATCGATCGCGAGTTTTTTGAAAACAAAGCGCAGACACACACACACACACACACACTCACTCACTCATTCACTCACTTTCACACAACAGAGAAGCCCAACAGATCAGGAGGACCTGCCTGCATTGGTGGCGTCGTGCTCGCGACGCCATGAATGCCATTGATGGCGTGATCAGCGTTGTTGCGACTGCCCTCATAACTGCCCCCCACCCTCGCGCTCTGACGCGCACCTTGTCGCTGCCCATTTGTCTGCTACTTCTCGTCGTCGTCTTCACTCCCTTGTTTCGTGCCGTGACCACGTGGGCGCACGACGAGCCCTCTCAGGGACGTGTTGAGTTCGTGCTGCAGCAGAAGGCGAGAGAGAGGAATCAGGGGGGATTCGGAGGATGATGATGATGATGATGGTGGTGGTGGTGGTTGTCCAGAAGGATTCTGGTCTCGGAGAAGGCAACAGTGTGGGTGTGCAGAGTGGAGCCTTCGGTGGATTGCGAGTGACGATGCTTGGGAGGGTTGGTTTGTGGCGTTGTGCATCACGCGAGGTGTTTTGAGTTGTTTTTTCAGGTGGATCGTGTGATTGCGCACGCTTCGGCGTGTGGAGGCAGATGTACGCTCTGGTCAGCACATGGTTGCGGGACGTGGATGGGTGCAGGCGTTGATCCTGTGGTCCAGTTTGGAAGTGCCGAGTTGAAGAGATCGTAGCGGAGTGTCGTGAGGCGGGAGCGGGTGGAGATTCGCATCAGGAACTGGTGGGGTACAACCCGCAGGCGGGAAGCTGCTGTGTTGCGGTTTGTCGGGTCAGATGGTCGATGTGGGACAGCCTTTATCCGTGGCAGTGCGCCGTCTGCCACGATCGTAGCCTGCGCGATCATTTGGTTTTCAACATGGGGTTCTTAGTCATCATGCAAGTTGTGTCCAATGCCAGATTTTGGCGACAGCTCTCGTCACTCCCGCGCCTTGGAAGCAGGTTCTACAGGGATCTTACATCCTTCGATTTTAACGCTGATTTATTCGCGTCCTGCAGGGTGTCGACTTTGCAGTACGCCTAGGCATGTCTTCACCAAGAGGTCTATCAATGCTCGCATTGTACATCATGTTAATGCCTCGGAGTACCGATGTTCAGGAATTGGCAGGAGAGAAGCCAATGGCACGTTGAGAGTAGAACCAAGTCAGTGTGATTAGTGGTACTTGTAGGACAGGGATGAATATTGCGTCCGCGAATGCATTATCAAGGTCTGCAGGGCTTTTGACCTTTCTAAGGTCAAACGGCTTGAGTTGGAATAGTTCATTTTGCAATTGGATGCAAGAGGAAGGCATTGAGGATTTTCACCAAAATGAAGAACTGGGTGTGGTGGTGGGTGGTCGCCCTCACTCTCATTGTATATCAGTGTCGTGTGCTGACTATGGCGCTAATGAACAGCGAGGCTCAAGCAATGCGGGAGCTGCAGAAGGATTTGCAGGTGGAACAAAGCTCCTGGCCTCCATCCGAGGACCCCTGCACAAGGTGGCAAGGAGTGCAATGCGTGGGCGACCATGTGGATAGTCTCGATCTTAGTGTGCTCCAAAGAGTGTCCAACCAATCTTTCAACGCTGTATTGGACGGCCTGCAGGCATTACCCTACTTGCGAGAGCTCAATGCGTCAGGATTTACCTTGCGTTTCTCACTCCCGGACTGGATCACTAGCCTTCAAACCCTCCAGATTCTGGATCTCACTGCTACTTCACTTGAAGGTACTTTGCCCCGTGCCCTGGGGAATTTTTCAAACTTGACGGTCCTGTGTCTCGCAGGTAATAATATTACCGGGGAGATTCCAGCGTCTGTCGGCAGCATGGTGAACCTCACTACCCTTAATTTGTCAAACAACAAGCTGGTGGGCTCGATTCCTCCTTCTATATTCAATGCCTCAGCGCTAGTGTCTGTAGACCTGTCTCACAACAATCTCACAGGGGTGTTACCAACAACAGTGGGCAACCTTGTAAACTTGCAATTCTTCATTGCATCGCACAACGACCTCGTAGGCCCTCTTCCGCCACAGTTGGGGAGCCTCTTCCTCTTGACACTACTAGACTTGTCTTCCAATAACTTCTCTGGTGCAATCCCTCCCGATCTTGGGAAGCTGAAGAGCCTCAACTTCTTATCCCTGGCGACGAACAATCTCTCTGGAACATTGCCTTCCGATATCACGCAATGCACAGGACTCCGAACACTCATCCTGCGGGAGAATATTGTGGAAGGAATGTTGCCAGCAACAATAGGCGATTTGAAGGAACTTGTTGTGTTGGACGTCTCTAGCAACCGGATCACAGGTCTCTTGTCGTCAGAGATGGGCGCTATCAAGTCGCTTGAGATTCTCGACATCGCTCACAACTACTTCTATGGACCAATTGTCAGCGAGTTGGTGGCTCTTCGAAACTTGAAATCTCTGAATGTTTCCCATAACTTTTTCAACGGTAGTTTGCCATCGGGATTTCTGCCCACCGCTGTGGTGAAAAAGAACTGTCTTCTGGGTTCTTCAGGGCAGCACGAGCTACGGACATGCCAGCGATTCTACGTCAGGCAAGGGGTCATTTTCGGAGCCCCAACCACTCCTCCAGCATCGGATGGAATCCCCATGCTGGAGCAACCCTTAGCGTCCGATCCTGGTGGAAACAAGTCGAAAACCAAGCATCTGGTGCTAATTCTATCTAGCTGTGTAGGCGGTGCGGGCTTGATTTTTCTGGTGGCGTCAGTTATCTATTGCTGTGTTCGACTTGGATGTGGAGGAAAAAAGAAAGGTGAATCGGCTAGGACTCATGGCAGCATCGGCAGTGTACGAGGCGGTTCGGCTCGCGCAATTGCACCTGCTGTCCCTACTAGCCGGATGGGGGAGGTCTTCACATACGAGCAGCTGCAGAGAGCCACAAAGAACTTCTTTGTAGGGAATCTCATTTCGAATGGTCACTCTGGGGATATATACAGGGGGGTTCTTGAAAGCGGGACAATGGTGGCCATCAAGAGGATAGATCTGACGAAGGTGAAGATGGAGACTTATCTGCAGGAGTTGGAAGTGCTGGGACGCGCTTCCCACACACGGCTTGTATTGTTGCTGGGTCATTGTCTTGACCGGGACGAGGAAAAGTTTCTGGTGTACAAGTATACAACGAATGGGGACCTGGCTACCGCCTTACACAAGAAAGGCAGTCCCGACCCATGTGAGGATGTGTTGCAGACCTTGGACTGGATCACTCGTCTCAAGATTGCCATTGGCGTTGCGGAGGCTCTCTTCCACCTGCACTCTGAATGCTCCCCGCCAATCGTTCACAGGTATATGACCCCTCTCCTCATTTGGATCAACAGTTGGTGCTTTTCCGGTTTTAAAATTAGCATTAATTGATCTTTTGTTACTTCTCGAATTAAAACTTTTTTCCGGATTCCCTTGCAGGGACGTGAAGGCAAACAGCATCCTTCTGGATGACATGTTTGAGGTCAGGCTTGGGAGCCTGAGTAATGCACGCGTGCAAGATGGGGAACCACATCCAAGTCGCATCACCCGTTTGCTTGGCTTTTCGCAGTGAGTCTAGTTACCTCTAGTACTTACTTAATGCAGTGTGTTTTTTTAAGCTTTTTCTTTTACGTATTGAGTACATTCAAACTGCAGTGCTTTGCTGATCCCTTTTCTCACTTAATATACTTAAACTATGTTAACGAATCAATGCGGGCACCAATCCAAGGTTCTTTTAGTCTTGTTTCTAATTCAAATAAAGTCCTATAATGAGGGCATGTTTGAGTCCATTCACCTAGATTTCCCCTCTCCAACCATAAGATCTGATAGAGAATGTGCATCTGGTCTTGGTAGCAAAATCTGTTCGCTAACATTAAGAGGTGTTTGTCTAAATGACTTGTGGGTGCGCTTCTACCTGTGGGGCAGATCATCAGACCAAAGAGATTCCGGTGAGAGCTTTATTCCTATATTGCTACTTTATTTGATTACTCTACGTTTTCGAGTGCACGACAATGCTTTGAAATCTATGACAATGATTTTCTTAATAGGTTCTTCAGGCTGTAGCCCCTCCTCAACCTGCATGTCATGAGGTTCTTTGAAAGGTTTTTATTTCTGCTTTAGATCTGTGTAAATATCTAGTACTCTTTGTCCAACGAGTTACTCTGCTGCATTGGCAGTTGCGGCAGTTTCTACCAGTTCCGACGTTTACAACTTTGGAAAGGTGCTACTAGAACTTGTATCCGGGAAGCTTGGTATAAGTGGGTCAACTGCGGATCACCACAGCGAGGCGTGGTTGGAGTGGGCTCTTCCATTGATCAGGGTGCACGACAAGGAGTCTCTGCCCAAACTGGTTGACCCATTTCTAATAGTCGACGAAGACTTGCTTGCAGAGGTTTGGGCCATGGCAGTAATTGCTCGTGCCTGCCTGCACACTAAGCCCCACAAGCGACCCAGCATGCGGCATGTTTTGAAAGCGCTTGAGAATCCTCACAAAGTGGTGCGGGAGGAGCATTTCGGAGAGTCCTTGGCCATGCGGACATCGTCCCACAGCTCATGGAACGAGGCTATGTTCGGAAGCTAGCGCCACAAGCACAACAACAGGTCCATGTCACGCTTGGGAGACTCGGATGCATATCATGGCTCCCTGCCAGTCTCAAAGGCTTCTGGAGTGGCATCCTCCAGTGCCCTACGATGGGACACCCCAGGGCATGCTAGGAGAGGTTCTAGCGATATTGTCCCTGAGCCTACTGATGAAGATACACCACATGGTTCTCAACGACGCACATCATCTGGGATTTACAATCCATAATCTTCATCAACTATCCAGCAGCAACCTAAAGTCCTCTGAGAAAAAGACTGAGCTCATTGCTATCCTCCCATCTGACCTTTCCAAGGGATCGACTCTTACAACAAGCTCAGGCTTCTCAACCAATCTGCCGTGCAGACTGGAAGAAGAATGGTCAACTACTTGGTGGAGACAAGGCCAGTGCTGAACCGAGGACATCGACGGTGTCTTCGCTCCACCGCTTATTTTGATTTCTGTATTGCGAAGGAAGCTTATATCTACCCCTTTCCGCAAGGGTGATGCTTCCTGACCTGCAGTTCAAACACAACGTGAAGGTGACCCATTTTTTCCCAATTCTTGATGAGCTTGTGAGTCTACGTTGTTAGATTGTTCAAGATGGGCACAGTATTTGACACTTAATACAGCTCAAATTATCTATGATGCATTGTTATTTTGGTTCGGGTCCGACCATGAGTTGTGAGTGTCCCTCTTGCTTGATCTATTCCTAGAGCGATATGATTATGCAACCAACTGCGAGCTCCAGTGTCTTGTTACCCAGGGGGACTTTCATTCCGTTACCATGCTCACGTGAAGACGATGTGGTCGAGGTGCATGCAGCATCCACCGATGTTCTGGCTTCAAACCGCATTCTGGATTTGCTGGTGGCATTTTTTGGAGAACAAAGCAAGTTAAATCAGCTCACGTTGTGCCTGATGCTGAACCTTCAAAATCGTTCCTGGCCAAGTTTTGCACGACGAAACCAGTCTCCACGCCTAATCGAGGAGTCTCGAGGGGAGACAGTGATCAGAATACGGCGTGGTTGTCGCGGCCTGGCCTTGAAGAGAGCTTGGCGTTTGTAGTGAAGGCTTTTACAAGCGATCCGTTCACTGTATTTGAGACTCTTGCCTTGATTTTGTTATAAGGCGCGTTAAAAGTGGCCTCATGAATTAACTTCCATATTAAGTGTATATTTCTCTCGGTCATGTTAGAATTGTCTGATGTAATCGGCGTTTTGAAGTCAATTAATCGGTAATGAAGATAATGTCATTTTCTTGTGTGATATATCGCCGTGGCTAGAGAAATCATGAATCAAGAGGGATATTTTGTGTGAGCTTTTTTGTCTTTTCTACATGGTTAAGAAATGTGGTTCTGTTGATTCAAATTTTATTTGTTTTGTTGAGGGAATAACTCAAAATTGAGTCTGTAAGTTAATATTTGTATGCAAATCCAAACAAAATATATGGAAAGGCATATTTGAGAAGACAATATAAAACCATATTTTAGAAGTATATGCATTTTTTCTGAAGTTTCGTGGGTTTTTAGTGTGTATGAGTTATTTTCTAGGTTTCAGTGCATTCGTTTTACTAAAAATATTTTGATACTATCTTGGTACTTCTGAACTCATTTCTCTCAAATACTTTGATAATCTATTATAATCATTGTATTCAACACATGTTATATTATGTTTCTAGTACTAAGGCTTTAATACTATCTACATCACTTTGTGGGTAATTTTTAATCCATTCATATCCTTTGATAATAAGGTATCTACTCTTAAATACTCTTAAATGTTATGTATAGTTTCAAAAATCAAATTTTATTTTGAAAAAAATCTTTTGTATCTTTTGTATTTACAAAAATAATTACTTCATTTGTATCTATTTAAAGTCTAATAATATATAATTTTAAGGAAAAATATCATATATATATATATATATAAATATGTCCCTCAAATATGTTGAAATATCAAGAATATCCATGTATTCTTAATAACAAAAAATCTATCATTGATAAGGTATTACCAATCTTTTTTTTTTTTAGGTGCATTTGGGGTCCAAATTGCATGCCACACAAATTTTAGCATAGCCATTTTTAGCACTTTTTGGCATATTTTTCCTCCTCTATTTTTCATGTTTGTGAGCCATACTAGTTTTTAACAAATTTGGTTGTGGCAACACTTTCCACCCACTAAATGATGGTTGATCTTTCCTTTAACACCTTACCCAAGAGCAAAGAGTCTTAGCTCTTATATTTTTCAACTAGGTATTTGTCTATGGCTTAAGATTCTACAATTTCCACAAACGGACCAGGCATTAGTGCCATGGGTACCTACATACAATAAGATCCATGCTTAGAATTCATTGATGTTGCTCACATTGAATATCAAGTAGGCACTATTGACCAACTCCTACTTTATCTTAATGCAATAGTTCAAATTTACTTACCAAAAAGTTTCAAGTTGCCATTCTCTATATATGGAATCTCCAAAAATGACTATAGCTATGGCACACATATCAAAGAGTCATTTTCTTTTGTTGTTGATAGTACCAAAGAACAAACAACTAGCCAATTTTAATTACCACAACCGTGTCTTAATCTAGTACTTTTGACAATAGCTCAAATGAGATTCTAGATCAAGTGCACCAAGTTTACCTATTTCTCTATGTAGATGGACTTATGATATTGGCCAATCTTCAAACTCGCCATTACTAATTTTAGTTCTTTCTCCATGTCCACCTTCAATAATGTTGACCACCATAGTTGATCAAATCAATACAATCAAGAATCAATGGCATTACTCACAACATTTGTGCCATCACACAAAATATTTATGTCAATAATAGATATAAGAACAAAACAGACATTGCTTTAATCGGTTTTATACTTATTAAACAGATGCATCAAGTACAAAAAAATCACCAAATCATAGTTGATATTTGATCTTCTCACCTTATCCTCAAACAATGGTTGAACGTTGCTACAACCAAATTTGTCAAAAAGTAGTGCTACAAAATTTGAACTACACACAGACATCAACAAGAGAAGGAGGCAATATGGGTCAAAAAGTGTCAAAGAAAAGTTGTGCCAAAATCTAAGCAGCACGCAATTTGGGCCTTAGATGTGCCTAAAAAAATAAAAATAAAATAAAGGTGGTGATATCTTATCACACTCAAGAGTAGATTTGATATTATCATAAAAGTAAGAGGTAGATTTGCTATTATCAAGATTACATGGATATTCTTGATATTTTAGTATATTTGAAGGATATACATGATATTTTCTAATTTTAAACTATATATATATATATATTAAAAAATCATGGTTTATTATTATTAGAGTTTTTATTTTTTCAAATGATATTTTGAATTAACATTACATGTAATTTATTTGATTGTTTGTTTTTAGAAATTTAGATTAATTTTGACAATACAATCTTATCTATCTCTTTTATATCAAAATACTATAGGTCTCACTCATCACTTTAGTTTGGAGCTAAAGCACACATTGTGAAGAATTGAAATCTGCTCCTTGCCTCATTACCTCCATATTTGTTGCTTTTCTCATCTCTTCATTCATTTTTGTTTGTTAGGTGCTCACATGGAATCCATGTTAAGTGTAGGTATCAACCTCCTGATGCACATAATTCCAGTATATCTATTTTAGATTTAAAATTTGAATTTGTCCTATTGGTAATTGGAGTTTCTTTTTCTAAAAAAGCCAACACATTCTTGCATTCTATTGCAATTTGGTATATTTTTTGAATAGTATTACAGTATAGTTTGGTATGGACAATGCTTACATCATAGCTAACAACATGATTTTGAGAAGGATTCAAATGTTGAGATATGCACAATGGATCTGAGAACTAATACTTTTTTTAGTTGCCAAAATAAAATAAAATAAATATTACTAACATCGATTCAAGGCCTTTGCAGGACTTAAGATTGAATTGTTATCATATTTGTAAAATTTCTTGAATTTTATGAATCTTTGCAGTTGAACCCTTGCTATCGAAGAAGATAGCACAAGAAAGTTCAAGCAATTTTCAAACATATTAGAAGCAGTACCACAGTAGTAAGAGCACTTACCAACCCATATATGTTATGTTCTATTAAGTTTAAGACGTTGTTGGGAATTCTTAGTTTAGACACTTGTAGCAGATGTAAAAATCGAACGCCCACACATCAGATCCAGTCTGTTCGGGAGTATTGTCAAGTTTAACCCATCGAATAAAGGTAAAAGAAGGGTGTGAGACTGTTCAATTCTTTAACAACATGGTCGAAGGCAATCGTCAAAGGATTGATAATTCTTGAACATCGATATATAATAAATTTTGTCAAGGACGTCTAACAAATGACTCCCATACGAAAACAGCCAAGCTCTAATAGTAGATAAAATTGGATTGCCCAAGAGGACAGAAACGATTGTCTGCGTGAAACATCATTGAAGATGAATCATACTGAATATGTTCTTCAAAATAAAAACGAGTTTCATCACCCAATTTTTTTTCAACGGGGACGGTCATAGCAGTATACAGAGAAATTGGTGCTCAAGTAGATAGCCTACAATTTCGCCACGATGCATGTGCTCATGGAGATCGCGAGTTTCTAGACAACAACAAGACTGACTTTCAAAAGGAACGGATTTATACACATGAGTAATGTGACAAGTTGCAACAAAATGGTTTGAAAAGATACAATTGCAGAGCCCTTGAGAAATACTTTCTCAAAAAATTGCAGGCAAACCTTGTGACCTGCGATGGTCCAGATATGTGACACTGGATCATCTTAATAGAAGAATCCTAAGACCTTTCCTCCTACGTTCTTACGCCTAGCCTCATCGTGATCCATAATACCAGCTGAGGTCGTCAATACAATGTAGCCAAACTGCACAACAGGACAAACAGTAAATGACATGGTCGAACATTCTGATTTACTTGTACGTTTATACTACTCGAAATCCTGCACTAGAAGGGTAAGTTACATGTCGTGCGACAACTTCAATCACCAAGTCCAAACAGTTCAAATTTATTTGTGAACAGTTTTAGCACTCTAACTCTGCACAAATCGTGCGGAGAAGATCTGGAGCTAAAAAACAATAGCCAGTAAGGGAAGTTCAAAAATAAATCTAGATCTCGTCTCAAGGTATTAGGTACTCGAGATAGATACTAAATCTGATGCATTTATACGAATGCAAGTGCTAGGTACGAAATCAAACTTTGAGGATCGGACCACAAACCTGACGAGATGGTAGGAGCCGAGCAGTCCATGCTTCCAATTCACCAACTCCGACGTTGTAACGAGGACTGATTACACCACACTTGTTCAATCTACCGTTGAGCTCTACCACAATCTTGCCAGCTCGATGGTCATCAACCAGTTCGAACTCCCCAATGTACCCTGAAAAAATTCAGAAGTAAACAGCATCATTCTTGTAATTCCTCGCAATACAATACTGATAACACAGAGATGGACCACTCTTATACAGAAGAAAAAAAGAAAAAGAAAAAGAAACGCTTTTCAATTCAGTTTCCAACCACAAGCTAAGAAAATATATATATATATATATATATAACGAATAGATTTGCATACATTCAAGTATTCAGGCATGGACGCAATAAATGAGGATGCCGAAAAACGACGAGTTAAATGTAGTCACCATAACTACAGGAATAGTTCAGCCAATGAAACCCTAAAAATCTGGATTGAAAATGAGCAATACCTCGCGATCAACATTCACCGAGTCCAGAAACGCAATCAATCCTAATAAACCGTAGCCACACAAAAAAAAATCAGATCGTGATGCATACCGTGCTTCTGCATCACGGACAAGAACTTGATGACGACCTTGGATGAGGGCCGCAACAGCACCTGCCGCTTTCCCCGCTTCTCCGCGTTGAACATGTTCTTCAACGCATCGTTCAAAACGCTGATTCGCACCATGGTGTAAAGACTGTGGAGCCTACCGACACCAACAGCAACACACAGACCTCTCTAGCAGCGTTCGATTGCGACGAGCAATCGTGATGCAAAAAGGCAAGCTCAAATTTCCTTCCTGGCCCTTGTTCGAAGACATGGCTCACCAGACCTAAAACCACCCTGCCGAACCAGCTCCGTGTTTGAGTTACCGGAGGGGACAGTAGGTTCGGGACAGGCTTGGAACTGGCCTGGTATCGTCTATCATCTCTCAGCCGTATACTTAAAAGTATATTTAAAAGTATGTTTTTAACATCATTCTTTCTTTGTAGAATATTTTTGTGGCTCCGTATATTTTTATTTTTCATTTTTCATTTTATTTTTATTTTAGTTGTTTAAATAAGAATATGATAATTTGATTGTGTAACTGGAAATGTTTAGGGTACAGGAGTTTCCAAATGCCTCAGTATTTCTAACTCATATAAATAAAATTAATTTTATTTTCTGTGCATTCCAATGCTACCACAAGTCATTTGAAAACTGTCCTTCATGTGGGTGCATAAGGATTACTACAATACTCTTTTCCATCTCCATAAATCTTAAACTTTTTCAGATCAAGAGTTTTGAGGATTGTTGCCTATGAATATTTTGTATTATTTTAAGGATTCAATTGGAACTAAAAAAATAATCTTATATTTAACATATATAATTTACAGCAACAGTGGTTAATTTTATCGTCTTTCATCATCAAATTTCTTTAAATTGCATAGATTTTTCAACATCCACCAAAATTCTTTTTGAGTCTATGTTTTGCCTAAAGTTATTAATATCTTATTATGCTACAAATTCTACAACCTACAGTAGTAGTAGCAAATAGTAAAGAAAAAGACTTACACGTCAACTTAATTTTCAAAATGGTATAAGTACCCACTTACAACTTGCCAATGCATTCCTGCACATATATGAAATATTTGCTCCAAACCTTCTGTCAATTAGAACCAACCAATTTCCATTACAACCCTCCACACAATGTCAAGAATTTGTTCTTTTTAACTTTAGTTCATAAATTTATGTTTAACAAAGAGATAGAGTATTGTTGTATTTGTCTAAAATGAACATTAACCTAGTCATCTTAGTACTATTATGATTTATTAAAACTTTATACCTGAAATCAAATAATGAGATGCACAGAAGATAAGCTAATCAATTTTATTTGAGAGGTTCAAAATAATTGTAAATGTACATCATCAATATGCACATGGATTTTTATTTTTCATTTTTTATTTGTTTTTGAATGATCCATTGACCAACAAATAAATCAGTTTTATCGAAGTAATGTCGACAGATTTTGCAAGAACGTTCTCACATTTATACTTCCAAATACAGAGAATTTTCTTGAAATTTTAAGTTAATAAATGATTATAAATTTGTCTCAATCGATTATAAGGATTAATGTATATATATATTTAAACCAGCCGAAGAAGAAGAAGAAGCACTGATCCACAATCGTATTAAATAATATAGTCTAACAAGTAATAGAAGAATTTTATACAAATAAAAATAAAAATATACACTTCAATTTTTTATATAATAAATTATTTTCAAACTTAAACTTAGGTTGTTCAAAATTTATCTACAGGGAAAGACACATCTCCACTGTCTTCATCAAAATTACAGTATGACCTGGCAGGTGAGCTGGACAAGCTCAAGATTCCTGAATCACCATCCCCCCCCCCCCCAAGGTCCCCGACTGAAGCGGAATTGGGTGCCCCCGATAAAGCACCCCCACCCCCTACCACCACGTATGGTGGCCATGGAAGACAAGTGTGAGCCAGCAAAAGGGAGGGCGCGGTGAAAGGGGGTTGGCCCGGTTAAGGGAGGCTTATCTGCTCCGTCACCACTCCGGTCCCGCTATCCAAAACCAAAGCCTGGAAAAAGGTGCACTTGCAGCAGAGAGCTCTGGAAGTCATGGCCGCAGCCCATCTCGCAGCCAATTCCACATCGCTTGCCTGATCTCTTTCTGGATATGATACGTTTCCAGCCTTGATTGCGGGTCCTCCTCCCCTTCCCACACACCAGTTTGTGGTCGCTGAGCCCCTGAACATTGTTACTTTTTGCTTTTTTAACCTCCTGGTGGGAACCTATTCTGTTTACTCGTTGCTTTTTTCTCCTGGTTGCTTAACCGCGACTGTGGCTTGGATGAATCCAGCTCGCTTGCAATATGGCTGAGCTTCTCAGGACTTCTCCATGTTCACTTTCTTTGATAGGTGTAGTGGCGTAGTGGCGTAGTGGAGATTTTTATTTTTGCCTTTTGAAACTATTTCTTCGATTCCGGAGCAGCTGATGCGATTGTCGTTCTGGAAATTTTTGCAGTTCTTAGTGAAGTCTACCTACACTCGAGGCAGAATTGTAGTTGTTTGTGGTTTGTGAATTGTCGCCATGGCTGCCTTGCCGACTATTTGCTTGTCAGCTATTAGGGCACTGATTCCTGGCGGTTCGTGGGATGCGACCGGTGCACCTTCTAGCGCTTCTTCTAGTGCACAACCGTCAGGCGCTCCATCGTCATATAACTCCTTGCCTGTCACTTCTTGTAGAAATGTTGATAAGAATTTGTATTACAAGGAAGCGGACGAGAAATCAAGAGAGGTTAGTGTTTTCAACCCCTTACTTTGTATCTGGTGACAGTGGTATCCATTTGCTACCTTAGCAGGAGACGTGAAGCAGAATGCTTGAACGCTTCTATTTTATTTTATTATTTTACTAAGTTATTCCACTGACGTTCATGCTGGTGAATTACACTACCAAGTATCCCAGCAACAACGACACATTGGAAACAATTTTGCATTCGTTCTGGATAGAAACCTTAGGAAGTTGTCGTGAATTAGCAGCTTTCAGTTTGCGACTAGTCTCCTTATTCTTTCAATTTAGGCGACATTCCTGCGGATTGGACAACAGATGGAAATAGCTGCTCATCAATTATTGGAGTGGTTTCCAGGTTGATCATGCCGAGCGAGATTATGAATTCGCAGGGTTGCAGAGGTTTGGGCGCGCCAGTCTCGTTGCCATAGCGGCAGCCTCGCTTTGCTACTCTAGTCCAGATCCTGCGCTTGCCTTCCGGGTACGTAGGCGATTGGATCTATTTCTTGTGTTCTTTTATGGTATTCAGTCACGTAAGAGTCAGTGATGTTGAACCTTATCGCACAGCACATCTCAATGGTAAGAAGAAATTCCTCAACTCTTTGGCGACCCTGTACTATAGGGCGGTGGGCCATACGGACAAGAGGTGACCCGCGGGCAGGACCTGACTGGACGGGACTACAGTGGATTGACTCTAATAAAACAAGACTTTAAAACGGTAATACTGATTTTGCAATTGACTTGTGCAATATTATGCGTCATAATTAAGCGTGAATTTGTCATCTCATTTAGCAGCATTTTTCATGCTTAGTGAAAACTTGTTGGGTGACTGATGTGAATACGATTTGCTGTACGCAGTCCATACTGCGGCAGGCAAATTTCAAAGGAGCGAAGTTGTTAGGTGCGAGCTTCTTCGACTCAGACTTAACAGGTAATTGAGATTGTCCATCTTCGTGTCCAATCTCTGCCATGCCATCCGCATTATCAAGAGAAGTAACGAGCTCTCATTAGCACCTTGAAATACCTGCGTATTTATGGCTTCCGTTTGCCTACAGGAGCTGACCTTACTGATGCGGACCTTAGGGGAGCTGATCTTTCATTAGCAAGACTATCAAAGGTATATTCCTGGCTGTCCGAATTTCGATTGACATTCGTGTTCGATTCACATTCCGGGGGCTTTCTATACAAGAATACTGTACTTATTGCCACATTAGATATATTTTCTGGATTTTGTGTGATTTTTGCTTCAATGATGTCCTGATCTATCTTATGACTGAATACACAGGCCAATTTGACTAATGCCAATCTAGAAGGAGCATCAGTCACTGGCAATACTTATCTCAAAGGATCCATTATTACTGGCGCGGGTACGCTTATATCTTATCGTTGGATCTATCTTTCACAGCTCTTAGTCCCTGATAAGCCTGCTACCTCTTTTCGCTGAGGAGTAATAACATGGACATGATTTTCACAAAGAACGAACCGGAAGGACTGTCTAAGATGTTTTATACTTGTTTAATAGAACGAACTAGCATAAGGACAGAAGAGCGTACTCAATTGATTTCGCTTTTGGCAGACTTCACTGAAGTGAATTGGAGGGATGATCAACGAAAAGAATTGTGCCTAATTGCTGACGGGTTCGTTACCTCCTCTACACTTTATGAAATTTTTGTTAAAGGATCCTTCTTCAACTGTAACAAATCACTCGCTTCGTGCTGTTTGTTGGTATCAAATGTTTGACAAATTAGGTGCAATTCATTGACGCAAGAGTGTTTACTTTCTGCAGAGTAAATCCTGTGACCGGCAATGCAACTAGAGAGACTCTACTATGCGATTGATCGACACATGAATACCTCAGCTGTTCTGAGATCCTATTTTGCAGGCTTAGTTGAGCAGAAACTGAGCATTGTGGATGTCAAGCACATCCAGCTACTTGCTCGAGCAGCTGTACAAGAAATTTTGAAGACCGAAGTGCAAGTGTCAAGCAGATTGAACAGAGAGACTCGTTTGGTTCACTGGTCTATAGTGCACATAAATTGAATTGGCACTATATTTCCGGTTTTAATTGCAAACAAACAGGTGCTCTAATTTTTTTTTTTTTTTTTTTTTTTTATATAAGATATATTTTTGGTTTTAATTGCAGCAGAATTGGAACTTCATAATTGCAGCTTAGCCTAGCAGAGGAAACAAGAGCTCTCATGTCACAGACGATTACTGCACTGAATTGTAGAATATGTAGGACGCTTACCTGTCATTTCTCGGAAGAGTCTTGAGGCATGACTTTGAAAAAGCCAGGGAACTTGCACAAGACATCGTTAGAGATGGTATTTCTAGCGTTCTTGTGTGAGGATTAAGGATGTCTCAGAGATGTGACTTGAACGAAGTTAAGAGCGGATTGTCAGGGTGGAGATGATAGATATCTTGAATACCTCTAAATTTGTCCCGTTCGCCTAGATCATTATGCTGAACGGCAAATCAGTTCACCACGCAACGGAAATGGGCATGTGGGTTGATTGCAAATTTGGCTGAATGTGCGAGAAATCGTCCGATGAAGTATCCAACAATAATGCCATCACGGTGAAGTAGACCATGTCATGAATAAGCATGCCTGAAGAGTGTAGTCATTGTGAGATAGAAATGTCATTCTCACATTACCAGTCACAACTACAATCTGTTTACTGTGTTCAATCAGGTGTAACAAAATAGCATGGCCAAGAATTGTGAAATTACAAAGAAAAACCATACCATTTGCATCGAGCATACGTTTATTACGGTTACGAACACATCTGTAATTGCACGATTTCATTTCCGCCTTCACTTCTACATTATTCGCAGCGTGTGTTCGAACTTAGACATGGAAAACAGCCATGCGAAGTACAACTTGTGGCAAATTATCTCATATTTTAGAAAGACATTATCATCTACGCCTATAGCAGCTATCTGCCTTCACCTAGTCCTGTCGCAAACCGAAAATAGTACCCGCAACAAGTGGACCATGATGATTTGAGAAAATGCAAACTATCGCAATGTGTGCCAGAACAATCTCTCACTGATCGTAATACACGTGACGATGCGTGATTGTTACAATGCGCATTCAACAACACGCTTCGAAAGATAACCAATACGCATGACTGCACACCCTTGCACAAGTATCAACAGATGTGATTGCGATGGCAGGGCGACGAGGTCGATAGTGTACTAGCGTGGAAGGAAATGGAAGTGGTAGCAAGTCACTGACCACCACTCACCGGATCACCGAATCCATGCCGTTGAAACAATGTGCCAGTGGTGAAGTTCGGGCAATGGATTGAACGGCGTCGATCTCATCGAGTCTCTTCGAGTTCCCACGAAACCAAACCATGTAATGCGGCAAATTTGAGCTCTGCCACCTTTAATGCAAGTAGATTCCCAACTTGGCACCTGATTCGGTAACCCTTTCATGGAGCACACTTTTGTGAGGGCATGGTCCTAATCGCAAACTGTCGATAATTGCAATTTGCAAAAGAATTCCTCATCTCGCATCAACAATGCCTCCATTGATGCTCCGTGAAGTTCAACTCGGTGCAGCGTGTGCACAATCGTTGAGCAACTTGTGCGGAGCTGGCTTCGTTCATCTCTCCTTACAAGACGAGGTTTGATTTCTATGCCTGCTTTCTCTTTCGGGTGTAGGTCTTATCAATCGCAAGCAGATCGAAGCTTTGGCAAAGTGTAGCCTACCGGGCACAAATTGCGCGTCGAATTATTTGGTTTTTTGTTCCGTATTCAAGTTCTCCGCACCTGAATTGTATGTATCAACTAACTTTGGAGGATTTGAAGGTTATGCTAAATGCGATGATCTGCCTTTACTACCATATTTATCTGAACTGGATTTAGATGCATTCGTAGAGGCAACCGTGAGGGAGCTCCCTAACCTTGTCCAGAGCCGTGTGGAGTTGATGCTGTCTTTTTGGAGGAAATTGGCGGAATGTGCACAATGGCATCGATCCAAAGATGTTGCACATCCCAAGCAGCTTCTGTGAGCAAATCTCGTCTGTTGGCTCTGCAGTTCAACAATTTTTCTTATGCTTTGCAGGTAAGCATGGTTTTCCATTTCTTGATGAACCCACCACTCTTTCACAGCCTTTTGCCTGCATGTCACTAAACCATTCTGTGAATGTTCATGACAGGCTTTGACGGTTGCAATACGATTGCAAGGCCACAAAGCCCTCCAGTCAGGTCCTCACATTCTTGTCATTGTTCGTTGCACGGATAACAATATCATGTTCGGTGGAATAAGAGCACTCCTAAAGCATTCTTAGAAAATTCCAGGTTAATGGTACCCGCGTTCAAAAACGACTTCAAGTAAGATGCTCAATCCAGGAGGGAGAGAGAATGAACATGAAGAACGGGGATTTGATGCTGTCAAAGCCATCGAAAGAAATCGATGCCGACAAGGATTTAGATGCGGCCGTAAAGCCATTGGAAGTACCCAGACCCAAAGAAGCCAAGAAAACCCTAGAAGCTGCGAAGGAGAAATTCGGTGAAGAGACAGTGACAAGACAATTTCAGGAATCAACAAGGGAATTGGAGAAACAAGGAACGACCAAGATTGCATTGTTGTGTGGAGCTGCCACGTTTGGATTTATCATCTCTGGGACCCTGCTTACTTCTCTAGAGGTTTTTCCCTTGGTCCCCGAGGCCATGCAATTAGTGGGGCTGGCATACTCAGTGCTAGTTGTCAGCCGTGTGATTCGAGAAGAACCAGAGAAGTTCAAAGTGTCACCAGTTAGAGCTGTTATAGAGATTTTAGACGAAGGGGAAGAGAAGACCAACCTCATGCTGCCACGAGATTTGGATGAGGGAACTGTAGCAGCAATGGAGCAGCTGGTGCGGGAACGTGACATTGCTGTAAACCAAAGGGAGGAGATGAGGCGGCAATCTCTCATATTGTCTCAAGTTCGTGTTGAGAAAGAAGCACTTGAAGTAGTGGCGTTGCAGCTCGCGGAGGAGAGAGAGAGGGCTGTGTCGGAGGCGAATGGTTTGAAGCGTACCGTTGAGTCGATAAGTGAGAGAATGAAAGGCGTAGAGGGGATACTTGAAATAGAAGTTGATCAACTAAAAAAGCAGAAACAGATACTGGAAACTGTGGCAGGGCAACTTGCCCAGGAACGGAACGTTGCCATTGAGGAAGTTGACAAACTAAAAGCGAGGTCAGAGGCCGAGAAACGGGCACTGGAGGAAGTTGCAATGCAGTTAGCGAAAGAGAGAGATGATGCACTAGCGGAGATTGAAAGTGTGAGGAACATCTTAGCTAACATGCAATCAATCTCAGCCTCTGAGTAGCCCCATGTTCGCTGAAAACATTAGCAGACTGAACGGGATCGATTCACAGTAGTGTGATGAACATCCACCACCTCAACTAGACACGATCAATCCCGTCTTGCAAATCATGAACCAGATCAAGGATTAGATAACTGGCCAGCTTCCGGGCCCTAAAATATAGCCAAGTGTCCTATTCAGTCTTACAAATGTAGAATATCGTCCTGCTTGGGTGTTCAATAGCTGTGTTATGGATTGTATCGGATATGTGTGAGCGGTGGCACGTGAGCTCATCTTGACCACTAGCTACAAAAGTATTGAAACTTGCCAATACTGTTGCCATCATTTTTCTTCAGTGAAATGAAAGTTCACAAGCAAGAACTGTACTCACAGTGGACTAGTTCTGATAATCTATGTACAGTTGTCTAGTTCAGTAAAGGAGCCCTTATTTGACCACCAGAACAAGCTACCTGATAGGATTTAGATAGCGATTTGTGCAGCACAGGAAACCTTATCATGGGAATATTGGATGCTTGAAAGTAAACAGTATAAAAAGTAAAGACAAGGGTGGCTGACTGAACAAACTTTCACAACACTGTAAATCAAGTGACCTAACACACCTTGCACAGATTTAAAGACGAACACTGCATTCAACACATGATATGGCTTGATTCCAGAAGAAATGATTTACACTTCCTGGAGCAGGTTCCCCATGTGGTGGTTGCGATCTTTGAACACTGCTTCTACCTGAATGATCGTCATTATATCTCCTACATCTATTAATTATTTACATTGTACAAACTGCTCACCATATTGTGAGTACATCCAGCGACAACTGCACTCCCTTGCACAGCTCGCTACAGGAAAGCCTCGCGAAAAGCTTTCATTCGCCCTATATGAGGAGCAAGAGATTAAAACATGTTAACTAGTCAACAATGAACACGGCAGATCACAGACCACCAAATGGGTCCTATATAATACATGATTCACACAAGTTATCAAATACATCAGAACAAGAGACTATACACAGATGATTAATTCCCTCTGTTAGAGCAGAAACCCTGGGTTGAGGGTAGTCGAACTTGCTGCGAGCTTCCGGTTGTAATGGTGTCGTTTCTGCACGGAGCGCCACGAACGATTAGCCAGGTCATATACTATACACCTCCCGCTAGTGGAGGTGAACACAATTGCGCACTCAGAAGCAACCGCAATGAAGCTCGGAATGCCATAGCAATTGTTCCAGTCTTGATTTGGAGGATAGAGCAGTGTATGCCAAGTTTCCGGCATGCGAGCAATTTTCTCAGGAGCCTTCGGGGGAGGCGCGACCTTAGATACTATAATGCACGACTTCAAGCACATCTCCTGTCCACAAAAGCAGCTCGTCCGGGAACCAGCCACGAGGTACACTTCCCCGTTGACCACAACTAGCTGCTCAAAAGAGTTGTATGGCAATTCAGCACCTTCCTTGCTCCACGCATCGTCAATCAAGCTGTAGGTGAGAAGCATGTGACAAGAGCGTTTGCCGAAGATGGTGTAAACTGTATTGTTGCATACTGCGCTGCACACCGCCAGGTCCCTGTCCGGCGGAGTCGCTAGCTCGCTCCATTGGCCGTTTTGCGAGTCATACATGTGCATTTGCTCCCCGATGCAAATCACTTTGTAAGTCTTGGCGGAATAATCCACGGTAAGTATCGGTGAAGTCAACTCATAGGCCATGCCCACAATTGGAGGCAACCGTTTTAGGGTTTTCGTCACAGGATGGCAAACATAGAGAACGTTAAACCTGGGCAACACATGTTTCTCTCTATACGCCACGAGAAAGAGCCCACCAGCTGTGTCCACCGTTTCCAGAGAATAAGTTTCGTCACCGCAGGGGTTTGCTTTTTTCGCATGGTCGACTAGGTAGCTACTGTCAAGGGAGTAGAACCGCTCGTCCATCACGTCTAAGACGCACCACCCTGCGTCGGCGTTACGACATCTACCAGGAGTGAGGAGAACATAAAATCGTTGCCTCGGAGCCAGCGCACACAGAGTACCAAACTCGGGGGAATCTATCAACGCGTTCCACTGTTTGCAAACCGCGCGCAGCCGACACACAGAAGGTACAGGGAGAAATCCGAAAATCCTCATCAAAATATCCAGCGGCAATTCCTTCGCCGACGAAGCCATGACCACTATTCCCTCTTGAACTCCTTATCAACTCCGCAAAACTAGATCCACCGCGCTATTCCACAGAACTGCCGCCAGAAAATTCCAACCCTCCCCACTAACCCCAACACCCTAACCCCTTGCGAAAAGCCCTAATCTCATCTCAAAACACCGCACCCACGCTCCACTCCCAGCCATTTCACTCCCAGCACCTCCAATCGATCTCACCACACCCCAGACTAGCGTCAAAACTCCCAAAAACAGGCGCTATCGTCGGCGTTGTGACCTAAAACGACCAAGAATCAGCAGCAGCTGACCATACCGACATCCACCAAATCCGCCGACCTCCCACAGCCCACTAGCATCCCCAAAATCAACGACTCGAGAGCCCTACCGTGGAGTCCCCAGCGCGACCTCTCTCACACCTTCAGACTAAACACCAACAACAATGAATAAATGCGCCACCGCCTCGAACGACGGTTGCTGCACGCAAGCTCTGGAGCTTCAATTCACCAATTCTTCTCCTTCTTCTTCGTCGTCGTCTTCTTCTTCTCCTTGCGTCCACCATGGGCGTCATCAATCCTGAGAAGGGAGCAAATGCCGCTAATTAGCTGCAAACTGCAGAGCCTAGAGCTGCCAGAGTTGACTGAGGACCTGTGTTTCCAAAGATAGAGGTTCGTTGACATGGTGCCCCAATTTCTACCGAAGGATATCGCCAAGTTTCGCCGCCCGATGTCGAGGGCCGTTCGGATTCAGTGGGAGCACCCCCACCGGGCCCCGTCAAACGACCCAGCCCACAAAATCAAATATTAATAAAGACGTGGCATACTGAAATTTGGCGGCCTCTAACAAGGCTCGACAAATTTTTACAGGCTTAGGCGCACCCTAATATCATCATAGTTGGTTTTCTCCATTAATACTCGTTAATTAGACATTTAGAGTTATCTAAAATCTAATCAGTCATTAAATTGTGGCGGGCTCCCTTGTTTCTGTGCACTTGTACCGTTTGGACCGGTGGGGCCCGCTCCCGGTACAAGATTAGGTTCGGTTAAGGGGCTCATCGCCCTGAGCCCGATGGGGGGCTAGTTACCGGGGTATGGGTGGAGATGCTCTAATAATGCAAAGCGGTAAGGTGAGGATTCAGAAGCTGGTGTGAAGCTCCGTTGTTAATTGCCTTCAGATTTTTTTTTTTAGATTATTTGTAATAGGTCATTCTTACTTTTTACTTTTTGGTACTGTTGGAAGATCTACATCTCAACATATAAACTTATAATATAATTTACTGAAGTATTATGAGTAATAAGTTTGTTTGTTTTTTTAAATTATTCAATTTTAATCATAAATATGTATTTACTGTATTTCTTATTTGGTATCAACAAGACCTACTAATTTGTATCCCATGCTCAAAAAATAATAATGAGGATAAATTTGAAGAAATACTACAGATTTAATTTGTGCTAAACAATTTTAATAACAGGTTTTTAAAATATTGTAATTTTCTACAATCTCAACATTGGAGTTATGTCATAGACATTCTTATTATAGAAAGGATCAAACAAAATACTTAAGTTAAAGTATTAGGTGGTGTTATTTCAAGATATATATATATACATATATATATATATATATATATATATATATAGTTTAAGATTTTTGATGTAATAAAGAAGAAGGTAAATTGTTAGAGTAATAATGGGAAAAGAGTTCTAAGTAACTAGTTTAGAGATCAATGGTGAAAAGAAAATAAAAAGGAAACAATTTTTTTTTCACAGAATATAAAAAAAAATAAAAATAATAAACAAAGTATTCTACAATTTCCTTCACAAGATGCCAATCAAAACTTTCCAACGAATTTGTGTAGTGTATCAATCAAAATATTTGAAACAATTTGTGCATAGTATCAATTTGATTACTTATGAATTTCTTAACATTGTACTAATTAGGGGGTTTTAAACATGGCACTTTTACAAAACCAAATAATTAGGATTCAATACCTGATATCAAATCCAAAATATTATTGTTCAAACTTTATTATCCCATAATATTACCCCTCGATTCAAACTTTCTTACCTCCGAGTATTGATTCAAAGAAAAAAGAGAGTTGAGGCCAGCAACACAATTTTTGATATTTGACCCGCCCCTCTTTTGATATCTTGATTTCAAAATCACTCACCTTACAAAGGTGATGATTTGGTGAAGTATCAAATGATATTTTGAAATATCACAAGATACTTCAAGCTTGCATCACATGTGAAATATCACCCGAAAAGGCGACCAGGTTTAAAACCCACTATTGAGAATATTAGGATGCCATCAACCCCAAATATCAGCCAAGGTACCTAAAATCCAAAAAGTGCTGCCGAGCATGCTACGGAGGAACTACACCGATATCCGTAATTAGTGTGTATCACACTATTTGGATGTCGGTGTAGATATTGATATGCGAAACGCAACCGCAGAAAGATCCAACAATTGGGTTTCAACGGAGGAAAAAGATCCGAGGGACTGACGCGTGACGCAGTGATTGTTTTGTTTCCATATTTTGCAAATAGTGTGGTAAACACTAATTACGGAGAAAAAAAATGTGTGCGTCACAGAAATTGAGGAATGTAACGTGAAAAAGCGTGTTTTGTGTGAATGCAGGAAGTGTGAGAATGTATGCGTGATGTTTGTGTGGGTATAATGATCCTGGAGCGTGCTTTCTTTTTGTCTTATGTCGATGATGCTCGTGTTGTGTCGGAAGTGTTGCATCCGTGACGTGCCTTGTGGTGGTTTGGTTGTGGAGTGCTTTTGCAGTTGTGGAGTGAGTTGGTAACGATGGATCGAGGTGAGAAGCAGCCTTACATTACCCACACGGATCGAGTTTTGGTGATAGTACACAAAAAGAAAAAAAAGACAGTAAATAATTAGTTCTAAGCAAGAAGAGAGCAATCTAGCAAGGTTTCTCATTGAAGAGCAGTCAGTGGTTATTGAGGGTGTGCAAAGACAATCAGACGAACAAAAAGAACTGGGTATGCGAGAATATTGAACAGCAACAACATCGCGAGACAATATGCGCTCGATATGCGAGCTGCGCAATTGAAGCACATTCTAGCAATGAAACAAAACAACGAGGAGAAGTCGAGCAAACAAGAACACCATGTAAAGATTCTAACGAGGAGAAACAGAACTAGTAGAAATATATTAAACCATTCGTTGAACAGCAAAGAGAAATGTTGAAGGCTATCGTGAGCAAGTCGAAGGAGAAGCAAACGATCAGCAGCGAGGGAATACAAGTGGTGCCTAAGAGCAAAAATAAGAGCAAAATTTGTGAAGGGGTCAAGATGGTAATTGGGACAAAGAAACAGACCTTAGCAAGAAAAGAACGAAATGTGGTTTGGGCGGGTCGTGCGAGAGCAAACAAGATGTAGAAGAGCGGCAATCAGCGGATAAACTTGTGGAGCGGTGAGAGGGTTGCAACTTCGCGTGAGCACCTCGAGGAGGGGACAAGCAGGAAAATTCGATATGGGTGTACAAACACACGAAGAACAACAAATGAAGACAAATTTGTCTGTGGGTAGATTTGTCTGTGGGTTTGTTTCCTCATATATTAATCTTAGAATTAGGGCAGATCGAGGAATCTAAAAAGTCTTAGAGAATTTGGAAAGAATCTCAACAAATAAAAGCACGAATAGAAATGTTTGTGCAAAAGAGGGACAAACAAGAGACAGCATGTGATAGTAAATTGAAAAGGAACTCTAGTGTGGATAAAATCCTAGTTTTGATTGTGGGTTTTCTACCTTTGTGTTAATAAACACTTAATTATTGCAAATAGTTATAAATTTTTGGATTTGTTGATGTTGTTTGTTTTCCAAGAGCATCTAGGTTGTAATTGAAAATTTGAGTGTTTCCTAAAGGAGACTTTTGTTCACAATATATTTGTTATGTTCCTTTTAGGTAGAAAATATCTTTATCCTAAAATGTTTAAGTTAGATGTCCATAACAAGTCAAAAGTATTTTAGATTAGACCTTTTTAGTTATTGATTCAAATCCTAACCTTATGCACAAATATTTTTTCTTTTTTCTTTCCTAAAAGGTCATATTTTAATCGTTGTTTTAATGAAGTTGAATCTTTGGAGATTGTTATTAAACTACTTGAATTCTTTGAATTTTCATCTGATAAAAATCTAATGTTTTTTGAAACAATCCTATATATTGCTCTAAACTCAATTAGTATATTTTAAATTATTTTATTAAATTTAAAACTCTTTTCTGAATTTATGCTAGTATAAAATTTAATGAGGTCAAAACCCAATATCAATTGTCAAATTGTGCATACCTCTATTATCTATCTATATATGTATGTATGTATGTATATGTATGTATGTATGTATAATTAGTATTTAAATACATACATACATCAAAATTGTATGTATGATTGTATCAAAATTGATTTCGATTTTATAATATTTCAAAAATATGTCATCTAATATTGGTCACTATATATATATATAAACAAATTTTTGTTTAAATGCATTATTCAGAGGCTTTATTTTTTTCTTGAAGTTTTTGAAATATAATTTTTTAGATCTTATTACATCATTGTAATTTCAATCACTTTTAAAATGCCTTTAAAGTAATTAAATTTTAAAGAATAAAAAGTATATCAAGAAGCTCATATTTTAGTGTTGTTTCAAAGTAATTCTATTTCACCAAATAAATTTAATTTTTTTCCTATTAAAAATGAATATTAATTTTAATTTAATTTCTATCCAATTAATTTATTTTTCATATTTTATTTTATTTTTCTTTTTTCTTCTTTTTATTCTATCAAAAATATTACTTTGCAAATACTTGCTATATCCATCTATTATTCATTTGCTACTGATTACTAATACTATTGCACAAATCTCATTCCTTTGTAACTATTAAAATCTTAATTCTAACTTCAATCTAATACTAATTGGGAAATCGAAATTAATGACACAAAAATATTCAAATTTTCTTAGTTTTTAAGTAATAGTAAATAATAACTTGTAAAC